AACTAAGTGCTATCATATAGAAACTTACAGAAAACCATTAAGCTGTTTTTTCTCAAGGCCATAAAGATTTGCAGGAAACCATAAAGCTGTCTTTTTCTCAAAGCCATAAAGATGTTTCTCTTCTGGCCTTTTGGCTCCCAACAGGATAGAGCTTTATTTCGCATGGGACATGTTCCCTTTGGGGAAGGGAAGATGTCAGCCCACAGATCGTGAACTGGGGCTTATATACGGGGGCTTCAGGGTGCAGAAAGCGGGAAGTTTTTGGGGGAAAATCAGGCGGGGGGAAGCAGGAAAAGCAGGGCTTGTAAACCCAGCTCCGTTCCGTTCTGTCTGCCAGCCAGGATCTGGGTCAGGAAGTGTTTATTTTTTGTCCTCCTGAGATAAGGGAAAAGCTGCTGTACTAAAAGTGGCTCCTAAAATCTCTGGTTAACAGGTAGAATCTGCTTCTCTTGTCTTCAGAAATCAGAGGAAAGGCAGGCTGCCTCTTAGAAGAGTCTACTTCCCTTGACTTCAAAGACCAACGTTCTTATCAGCTCAGTTCCCTTTTTTCAGGCTTGCGAAATCCAAAGTCGGCGGGACCCTGTTGGAGAAGGGGGAGAGGCTGCTACGGTTTTGAAACCCTAATACATATTACTTAATGTATGTTGAAACCTTGACTCAAAGTCTAGGCGATTGAATGCCAGGTGGCATTATATCCTGCTTGAACCCCAGCTCACCCAGAAGCAACAGCACTTGTCCTGTGGGCTATCCTGTCCCTGAAATTCAAACCTGCTTCACACAGGTGAAGTTATATCCCTTAGCTATAGTCAGTGTAGTTCAGTAAATAATTGTTTTCTTCCCTGGATTTTCATTATAAAAATGCTTTGGCCTGTAGGCCTAGCAGATATACTTCAGATTGCCATCTAGCCTTGCTGTTAGAGCCTCCAGGAACTTGTCCTAGGACTGTGCTTTTGGGCTTAGCATGTGTAACAGCTCAGTAAACTTTCGGTGATGTCTCACTCTCAAGCGTTTTGGCCTAACACTTCCAAATCTTCCTGTCATTGTGGGAAAAGTCATAAATGTCAGTTATCATATGGCCAAAAGTCTTCATTTCTAGGGCTGGAGCGATGCTCATTAGTTAAGAACACTTGCTGCTCTTGCACAGGACCTGGGTTTGGTTCTTAGCACTCACTTATATCTGCCTGTAACTCCAGCTCCAGGGGATCTTAAACCTTCTTTTGGCTTCTGTAGGCACCAGGTACACATGTGGTGCATATATATACATAACAGGCAAACACTCATACACATACAATAGATAAATCTTAAGTTTTAATTTCTGATGCTTTTAGGGTTTGTCCGGGGACACAATAGCTTTGTTAGATTGCTCTCCTGTAGTCTCCTAACAGACAACAGCCAGAACAAAGTGCAGCATTGATAACGAGGGCAGGGCGGTTCTGCACCTCACAGGCCTGACTTTGTCAGCCTCATGGGCTGATGTGCTCAGTATAAAAGTATTGGGCATTGATTTGGAAATAAAAATGTCTTTTATTTTGATTCTGTAGGACCCTGGAAGGTTGCATAATGAATGGTGACACCCAGGCCGCAGTGGTGACCTCACCACCTCCAACCACAGCCCCTCACAAAGAGAGATACTTCGACAGAGTGGATGAGAACAATCCAGAATACTTGCGGGAGAGGAACATGGCACCAGACCTTCGTCAAGACTTCAATATGATGGAGCAGAAGAAGAGGGTGTCCATGATTCTACAGAGTCCCGTAAGAGACTTCCTACCACACGGAGCCCTCCCAGTTCCTGTGCTCTCACACAGTGTGAGGCACAGTACTTTTCTCCTTACACAGCCTGCAGTGCCTCATGGACATGTGGTGCTTGTTGGAGGAATTCTCTTTAGTTCATATTACCAGACATGATGAGAAATCTTTAGTGTTTAGGAGGATGTTTATTTCTCCTTTTATTCTGTCTTGTGTGTTCAAAGGTGTTTTAGTTTCTTTCTTTTGCTGTGATGAAAACACCAGCTAAAACCAGCTTGAGGAGGAACAATTTATTTGGCTTACAGCATAGTCCATCAGCAAGGGAAGCCAAGACAGAAACTCAGGGCAGGAACCTGGAGCACAGACTTGGAGGAACAGTGCTTACTGGCTGGCTATCCCCTGGCCCGTGCTCAGCCTGCTTGCTTATACAACACAGGACCACCTGCCCAGGGCTGGAACCACCCACAGTGGGCTGGGCTCTCTTGTATCACTCAACAGCTATTGAAAATGCCATTGGACATTGGCCACAAGCCAGTCCAATGGTGATAGTTCCCCAGTTGAGGTTCCCTGTAACCAGGTGTGTCAAGATGACACTAAAGCTGTGTAGCACAAAAGGGATTTTATAAAACAGTGGGACATGGACCTGGAGAGATGGCTCAGCAGTTAAGAACACTGGTTGTTCTTGAAGAAGACCCGGGTTTGAATCCAAGCACCCACATGGCAGCTAACAGCTGTCTGTAACTCCAGTCCCAGGGGATCTGACAGCCTCTTCGACCTCTGCGGGCATTGCAT